CTCAAACTGGTACCCATATGGGATTCCAGCACTATAGGTGGCAGCTTTACCCTCTACGCACAGCACCAGCCCTGAGTCTCTATATCTTTAACTCAACTTCTGCTAATATTGCCACTTGATGTAGCCATTGTACATTCACCAAAACTAGGAAGTTTAATATTGGTATAATACTATTACTTGCAGTATAGAGTTTATTTGGATTTTGCCTGTTACTCCATCAATATTTTTTATGTGTTTGTCCAATCTAAGATGATTTGGTTGTCATATCTCCTTCATCTACTCAAGTCTTTGACAATTTCATAATCTTTCCTTGTTTTTCATAATCTCGATAGTTTTAAAGAGTACCAGTTTAGTATTTTGTAGACTGTATTTCAGTTTGGGTTGATGAGATTTTTTTTCTTTTTTCTATTTTAATTAGTTTTTAACAGATTCAATATAGTTTTTAGGTAAAATTCTAAGAATATGATATTCCCTTCCTTCCTCTACATGTTCTTCCTCCTAACTGCCCATCCTTCTCCCTTTTTCTTTTTTTAGTGTGAAGCTTAATGCTTCACTAAGTAAGTTTAACAAGTAAAAGGCAAAAAGACCCTGGTTAGTGGGACTATAAACAATGACTATACACAATAATTGAATGTAAAAATGGCCATTTCACCCATATACAATAAATTTTAAAGTAATCACAGGTCCTTAAAACTATAGTAGTAAAACATTCTTAACTATTGATTTGACAAGGGCATAAAACAGTTTTACGAAACTACATTTTGTATTGATATACATAGTGATTTTTTTCTTGACTAAACTAGCATTATGAATTTTGAGGAATAACACAACAGAGCTGAAGTACCATTTTCTTTTAAGTAACATGACTGAGATATTACTGTTGATGCTAACTTTGCTTGGCCGAAGTAATGTTTGTCAGGTGTCTCCACTGTCAATTTATTTTTTCCTTTTTTAAAAAACTTTTATTTAATAAATATAAATTTCCAGAGTACAACTTTTGAATTGTAGCGGCTTTTTCCTCTTTTTATCATCTTCTTTTGCAGTGGGTCACTGAGTGTAGTCCATACTCAAGGGAAGGTGATTAAAGTTCTATCTCTCCTAGGAGGCAGAATGTGCTTATATTATTTGGAATTCTTCTATAAGGAAAATGTGTCCCTTCTCTCCATTTATTCAATAATTTGTTTATAGTAGCATGGACTCATGAATATTTTGTTTTGGGGTTTATAATCTAATGCTGTTGTTATTTACATTTACTAAAATTGTTTCTACTTTGCTAGAACATAGGAAATTGTTTCAGATTTGCTACAGTAACCTTCACCATACCCCATCTTTTCTTTTTTTTTTTTTTTTTAAAGATTTATTTTTTTGAAAGAGCTACACAGAGAGAGAGAGACAGATCTTAAATCCGATGGTTCAATCCCCAATTGGCCGCAAGGGCAGCAGCTGCACCGATCGGAAGCCGGGAGCCAGGTGCTTCTTCCGGGTCTCCCACATGGGTACAGGGGCCCAAGGACTTGGACCATCTTCTACTGCTTTCCCAAGCCATAGCAGAGAGCTGAGCTGGATCAGAAATGGAGCAGCTGGGATTCGAACCAGTGCCCATATAGGATGCCAGCGCCTCAAGCCAGGGCGTTAACCAGCTGCGCCACAGTGCTTGGCCCATGCCCGATCTTTTAAACAAAACAAAACAGAACAAAACATTTCTTTGCACTGTGACTGTGTGAGGTTCATCTTTTATTTTTCTTGCGTTTGCCTCCAGATCAGTCACTTTTTCCCCCCAGGAGTCCAGGTTTTTTTATTTGGAAGAATGATGGTTAGAAAGCAAGATCTGGATGCAAGTGTTCTCCTTACTACTGTGGGTGACACTGCTTCTAGACCCTCTCTGAGGTCGAAGCCCTAGCGCTATATACTAACCCATGTTACAACACATATCTATCATTTTTTATATATATATTTTATATATACACTTGAGTATATATGAAATATATACATGAGTATATATTTGTTATATATGTATGTATGTATTACATAAATACGAATTCATACTGATATCTCTGACTCTAATCCAACACCATAGGGTTCTTTCTGGCTTTAACATCTTGCTTAGTTTTAATTTCTCTGACAGGGAAAAGCTTTGTTTTTGTTATCTAGTATTTATTTGCTGTCTTTTCAAAAACTTTGAATTTGTTCATGATGACTTGTTTACATTCTCCTGTTTTGTGTTGTGAACTTGTGTTTGTGGAAATTCTTGTTTTAAAGCTTGGATTAAAGTTTTGTATATCTGTCTGGAGGGTTTGTATTTGCCTCTGTTAGTCACTTTTAGAACTTTTTCCCCCCTTTTTAAAAACACAGATTGGGGCTTAGCTTTGTGGTGTACTGGGTTAAGCCACTGTATGCAATACTGGCATATATTGGAATTCTGGTTTGAGTCTCAGCTGCTCTGCTTCCAATTCAGCTCCCTGTTAAGGTGCCTGGGAAAGCAATAGAAGATAGCCCAAGTGCTTGGGCCACATGAGAGGCTGGATGGAGTTCTGAACTCCTGGCTTCAGCCTGGCCCAGTCATGGCTGTTGTAGCCATTTGGGGAGTGAACCCATAGATGGAGAATCTTTTTCTGTGTCATCTTCTCCATCATTTTGCCTTTAAAATAAAAGTCTTTAACAAAAAATTTTAGGTTGTGGTTAAAAATGTATATTATAAAATTTACCATATTAACCATTTAAGTATAATTTGTTGCCATTAGGTATATTCACAGTGTTATCCACTTACTACTGTTATCCATTTCCAGAACTTTGTCACCATCTCAAACAAAAGCTATACCCATTAAATAGTAATTATTCATCTCCCTTCTCTCTGTTTTTCCAGCCCCTGGTAAACTCTGTTCTGCTTTCTGTCTGTATGAATTTGCCTCAATATCTCATAACTTATGTGATGGAAGGGGCTAAACAAGCTGCATTGGGTCTCCTGTTTTTGTTTTTTTTTTTTTTTTTTTTAAGATTATTTATTTATTTATTTATTTGAAAGGCAGAGTTACAGAGAGAGAGAGGTCGGTCGATCTTCATCCGCTGGTTCACTCCCCAGATTGCTGCAATGGCCAGAGCTGCACTGATCCAAAGCCAGGAGCTAAGAGCTTCTTCCAGGTCTCCCACATGGTTGCAGAAGCCAAAAGACTTGGGCCATCTTATACTAATTTCCAAGGCCATAGCAGAGAGCTGGATTGGAAGTGGAGCAGATGGGCTGGAACTGGTACCCAAACGGGATGCTGACACGATAGGCTGTGGCTTTACCCAGTATGCTACAGTGCCAGCCCCATTGGGTCTCTTTTATTTATTTATTTTTATTTATTTATTTTTTTGACAGGCAGAGTGGACAGTGAGAGAGAGAGACAGAGAGAAAGGTCTTCCTTTGCCGTTGGTTCACCCTCCAATGGCCGCCGCGGCCGGCGCGCTGCGGCCGGTGCACCGCGCTGATCCGATGGCAGGAGCCAGGAGCCAGGTGCTTTTCCTGGTCTCCCATGGGGTGCAGGGCCCAAGCACCTGGGCCATCCTCCACTGCACTCCCTGGCCACAGCAGAGAGCTGGCCTGGAAGAGGGGCAACTGGGACAGAATCCGGCGCCCCGACCGGGACTAGAACCCGGTGTGCCGGCGCCGCTAGGGTCTCTTTTATAAGAACACTAATTCCATTCTTGAGAGGTTGGCCCTTATGTGATCAGCTTCGTAGGCCTCTGCCTTATAATACTATAACCTTGATGGTTAGAGTTTCAAGGTAGTACTTTTGGGTGAACATAAACATTCAAACTGTAATATATTAGCCGTGAGGTGAATGCACTTTATTTGTCTTTAGTTAATTCAGAAACCCAGAACCAAGTGTAAGGCAGTAATCCCTGCTAACTCTTTCTTCAGTGGGTTTCTTCTCTCCTGTCCCCCACTAGTTTGCAAGATCAGAGTGTTGCCCTTCAGCCCTTCTGACTTTATCTTGCTAGGGCCAAACCTAATCTCAAAGCCAAAACTCTAGTATATTGGGTTTTTGTCATAATGACTCCAAGACAAGTGCCAACTTCATTTTTCTCCCCAGGTTTCTATTTTATGGTTGTTTTGACTTTAGGGAGTTTTAGTCATGCACTTATAAAACATTTTAAACATGTAAGTGAGTGAGTGTTTTTCTGATCTAGAGAGTTTTTCTGGTCACAGAGTTAACTGTGTGCCTGATACAGAAAACCTTGTTTTGTTTTTCTTATGTTAAAAGGCAGAGAAGGCTGGCGCCCTGGCTCAATAGGCTAATCCTCCGCCTGTGGCACCGGCACCCTGGGTTCTAGTCCAGGTCGGGGCGCCAGATTCTGTCCCGGTTGCTCCTCTTCCAGTCCAGCTCTCTGCTGTGGCCCGGGAGTGCAGTGGAGGATGGCCCAAGTCCTTGGGCCATGCACCCACATGAGAGACCAGGAGAAGCACCTGGCTCCTGGCTTCAGATCAGCGTGGTGCGCCAGCCGCAGCCCGGTGGCTGCGGTGGCCATTGGAGGGTGAACCAACGGCAAAGGAAGACCTTTCTCTCTGTCTCTCTCTCTCACTGTCCACTCTGCCTGTAGGGGAAAAAAAGAGAAGACTGAATTTAAGGAAAAGGCTACTGATCTTGTTATAGTTCTCATAAGTAAGGCTAGCAAACTGTTTATAGAAATTAATTTCTGGAACAATGATCAGAGATTGAGATTCAGGACTGATTTTATGTATTTGATATATATTAATGTACTTTCCCAATATGTTTATTATATCTTGCTAATGTGAACATCTTCCTATGGCAGACAGATATGAGTGACTATAAATTTGCAAAAACAGATTTTAATATGTTTCTTTTCTCTTTGGAGGATATAGAATATTTATAAGAAGCTGTCAAAAATGAGCCAATTAAAAGAATATCAGATGATCAAAGAGCTTGGGAATTGCTCAGATTTGTTTTATATTGAACAGCTCTGTAATGAATACTTATCTCAGTTTGTTTTTATTTCAGCTTTGGCTAGATCAGAGTCTAAGAGAGATGGAGGTTTTAAAAGTAATTGGAGCTTTGATCATGAAGAAGAAAGTGAAGGAGATACAGATAAAGAGTAAGGATATTTTTTCACTCAGATATCTTATAAGAATGAAACTTTTCATTAGAAAAACAATTCCTATTCTATATATTTTCTAGAGTATGGTATAATATTTTCTAGAGTATGGTATTAAGAAAACCTTTCACTTTTACAGATACATTAAGAAAAAACAGTTCATTATTGATAAATAATTTTGTATATTTTTCCATCTTTTTTAAATGTATACATATACCCACAAAATACATATAGCTTTATGGTTAAAAATTGGCCATACAGCAGAATATTTCAAACTAAAGAAATTATTCTTTAAAGGTATAGGGGCGGGGCAATCTATTCAGGCAAGAAATTGCAAGGCCACTATTTCTAACTGAACCCAGATTAAGACGCTTGAACTTGTCTGAAACTTTAAGTTTTACAGTATCTGGCTTCTGTAGTTGTAACGCATCCCATTCCTCACTCCATCATCTACCAGATCAAATTTTCACCAGAGAAGGCAACACCACTATAAATGATAAATACAGGAGTTTACCCAGACAGAAAACTTCAGGTGTTCATTGCACTTTGTTAATGTACTTGGAATGACTGCTGTGTAAAAATTTTATATAATAGTTTTGATGAAACTTTTTTGCCTGTAATAAGATTTATAATACAGATTTAGCAACGCTTTTAGTGTCTTGATTTTGTGATCTAGTTTTTCACTGGCAAAAGAAACAACAAATTCAAGGATATGCAAATTCTGTCAAAACTATAAATATTTCTTAGAAAATTTTACACAAGAAGTCACTCAGAGTATATTGGCTAAGTATTGTAGTTGCTTTATTTCTGTCTGGGCAGCAGCCCTATTCATTTCTGCTTTATGTTCTTCACCGATGAGGTGTTGACTTCAGGTGGCATTTTATTTGAAGGAGAACTTTGAACTGGAAAGTTTTTTATTGAAAAATCAATATTTTATGATCCTCTTTCATTTCCTTTTGTTTGTTCTTGGCTTGTTTTTCAATTCAAAATTTTTCCTACATTTAGTATGCATATAGTTTTGAAAGATTAGAATTAAATATGAAATTAATCTGAAGAGAAAGTATAGTACTTTTTAAACATTTTTGTGAAATGTTTGGAAGAGAAGTATAGCGTCAAAAAATTACGATGTACATAAACAATAATGAAACAGTAGTTTATGTTTTTATTATAAAAAGGATTTTACTGTAACTGGGCAGAATTGTCTTCAAAAAGGTATATATATTTGACCTTCTTTGTTGGAAGATTTGCCATGAGTATATTATGGCTTTTGAAGTGTCTACTCTCGTGTACATTACACTTAACATATTGTACTGTTTGTTTCATTATGTCCTCAGGGACTTCATGATTTTCAACATTTCGAGATTAATCTGAATAATTAATAGAAGATTAATCTGATCTTTTAGAATCTCAAGCCAGTGATTCTTAGTGAGGCATTCATATTTTCAAAAGTGGTGGAAGTCTAACTATTTTGCTGTGTGGAATTACTTTATTTTTATTAGCTAAGATTTCCTTTCCTTACCAGTTGAAAGTTTCTTCTCCTTTATTTTGTTTCTCCATCCTTTTTCCCTATTAGTTCAAAACAGAAAGGGAAAATGAATGAGATTATATAAAATCTATAGATAAAGGCGATTGGATAATGGATATTAAAATGTTACTTAGAAGTAATAAGTTCCAGTATTGTATAGCACAGTGAGGTGACAACAGTTTACAACAATTTATAATATATTTTATAGAGTTAGAGAGTGATTAAAGGCTCCCAACACAAAAAAAAAGATAAATATTTAAGAAGATGAGGATGTTGATTACCTTGATCTCATTATTACACATTTAATACATGTATTGAATTGTTACATTGTACCCCATAAATATGTAGTTATGTGTCATAAAAATCATGCACTCATTTATGAGAAGGGTCAGCAAACTATAGCCCATTGATTTTGTTAATAGCTATTAGTTTCTACTTATTACGTAATTTTGTTATGTATAGTTTATGGCTGTTTTCACACTATAATATCAAAGATGAGTAGTTGCAACAGACACCATAATGGCCTGGATACCTTAAGATACCTTTTTATCTAGTCCATTACAGAAAAAATTTACTGATTCCTTGGATTAAGGGAGCATAGAAGATAAAACCTTTAAATTTAATATATGGATTGTAATTATTACTTAAGATTTTTTTCCCCTTATTTTTTATGTAGTGGGGCAAATCTACTCAGTGTAGATGAAGATGAGGATTCTGAAACCTCAAAAGGAAAAAAGGCAAGTGTTGCTTTAAAACTTTTTTTTTCTTTTAGGTTGTATACTATTATCCCAAAAGAAAACTTATGCTTTTTAGTTGTAATCCCTAGCCACCCACTTCCTCACCCCAGAGGCAAACAGTGTTTCTAGTTTTTTTAAATGTTTTATGCTTTGTGAAAAAGATATATATTACCAGTCCACCCCCCCACACACACAGTTAGTAGTGTACCATAGACAGTTTTCCTAATCTTCTTTAACAGTATATTTGGAGATCATCCATAAGAGTCTTTAGAAAGCACCCTCATTTTTCAGTAGGTGCACATAATCCTATCATATCGTATACATTATTAACCAGTGTCACCATATTGATGGATATGAACACTTGTCACCATTCTGATTTTTTTCCTAATATAATGTTGAGTAAATCAGCTTTGAAGAACATATATTCTTATGCACACATACAAGTATCTCTATAGAATGAATTCCTAAAAGTAGAATTTCTGTCTCCAGATAAAATCATTTCTAATTTATTGTACCTGACTTACACTTTAGCAGCAGTGTTCTGAAAGTAGCCATTTCCTAACATTTCCATCATAGAGATTTTAACCTTTTGATCTTCCCTAATGAAAAATAGTATCTCAATGTAGTCTTTTTGTTTTTTTGCCAGGCAGAGTTAGACAGTGAGAGAGAGAGAGAGACAGACAGACAGAGAGAAAGGTCTTTCTTCCGTTGGTTCACCCCCCAATATGGCTGCTATGGCTGGCACGCTGCACTGATCCAAAGCCAGGAGCCAGGTGCTTCCTCCTGGTCTCCCATGCGGGTACAGGGCCCAACTACTTGGGCCATCCTCCACTGCCTTCCTGGGCCACAGCAGAGAGCTGGACTGGAAGAGGAGCAACCAGGACAGAATCCAGCACCTCAACTGGGACTAGAACCCGGAGCGCCAGTGCCGCAGGTGGAGGATTAGCCAAATCAGCCGCCGCACCAGCCTTCAGTGTAGTCTTAATTTGAATTTCTTTTATTACAAGTGAAACCAAACTCTGTTTGATATGTGTATAGTTCATTTGTATTCCTTTTTTTTTGATAGTTGTCATGTAATATCCACTGCCCATTTTATGATTTGGTCTTTAGAATGTTATCTGTAGGAATTTTTTTATGTTGTTTTAGAAACACATTTTTGGGGCCGGCACTGTAGTGCAGCAGGTAAAGCTGCTATCTGCAGTGCTGGCATTCCATATCGGCACGAGTTCCGTCCCAGCTGCTCTACTTCTGATCCAGCTCCCTGATAATGTACCTGAGAAAGCAATGGAAGATGACCCAAGTACTTGTGCCCCTGTACCCACATGGGAGACCTGGAATGTATTCTTGACTACTGGCTTTAGCCTGGCCCAGCCCTGGCCATTTCCGGCCATTTGGGAATTGGACCAGCAGATGGAAGATAATCTATCTTTTTCTCTAAGTAACTCTGCTTTTCAAATAAATCTTAAAAAAAACCAAACAACAACAACAACAAAAAACCTTTTCCCACATTTTGACATCTCTGAAATTTAGATGTACGGAATAATGATATTTTGAAATGGTTTGATTATTTAAAACCTTTTTTTTTTTGCATGCTAGTATAATGTATATCTTATAATGGTTTCTTAGGTTTAGCGAAGCATAATATCTTTAAAAAACTGGTTGTTTGCTGTGATACTAGTTCATAATAAAGTCATGTGTTAATTAACAGGGATATGTTCAGAGATTCATCATATGCAATTGTGTTGTGGTCTTGTAAATGTTACAGAGTACTTACTCAAACCTAGATGATATGAGTCAATCATCTGATACAGTCGTGAGATGTGAGCAGGGGATGAAGCTGCTGCTGCTGTAACACAGCATACTGTTTTGCAGTAAACTCTTTTGTAACTTGGAGTACATTCTAAAATAACAATAAAAAGTGTATATGTAAACCAATAATACAGTTTTCTGTGCAGTTACCAGATATCATCTACTGTGTTGTATGTGCTACTTCTGTGTGACTGGCAACACAAGAGGTTTATATCAGTTAAGATATTGTTTATTTGAGAGGTAGAGTTAGAGACAGAGAGAGGGAAAGACAGAAAAGTCTTCTGTCCACTGGTTCACTCGCCAAATGGCTGTAATGGCTGGACCTGGGCCAGTCTGGAGCCAGGAGCTTCTTCCCAGTAGAGACTTGGGCCACTTTTTGCTGCTTTGCCAGGTGCACTAGTAGAGAGCTGGATCGAAAGTGGAACAGCCGGGAATCGAACTGGTGCCCATATGAGATGCCGACACTATAGATGGTGGCTTAATCTGCTGTGCCACAGTTCCCGCCCCATCCTTCCATTTCTTTCAGCATAATCTCCCAGAAATTACTGGAATGACTGATTTTTTTAAATTTGCCTATGCTTTTGCCTGTATTTCTTTATGTGTTTCCTCCAAAATATTAGAGCTGTATATTTAGTTGATTTAATTTGTGAAAGTGTCTGCATGAAACTTGACAAGGCTAGTCCTGGTGCTTATTAATTCTTAAAAACACACTCCTGGAATGGGTGTTTGGCCTAACAGTGAAATAGCCAGTTAAGGTCCATGTGTCCCACATTGGAGAACCTGGATTCAGTTACCAGCTTTGGCTCTTGATTCCAGCTTCCTGCTAATGTGGACCCTGGGAGACAGCAATAATGGCTCTAGTAGTTGCCATGCTGCCACCCACATGGTGCTTTCTATCTCTCAAGAGAGGGGCTGGTGCTGTGGCGCAGCTGGTTAACGCCCTGGCCTGAAGCACTGGCTTTCCATATGGGCGCCGGTTCAAATCCCGGCTGCTCTACTTCCTATCCAGCTCTCTTCTGTGGCCTGGGAAAGCAGTAAAAGGTGGCCCAAGTCCTTGGGCCCCTGCACCCACGTGGGAGACCTGGAAGAGGCTCCTGGCTCCTGGCTCCTGGCTTCGGATCGGTGCAGCTCTGGCTGTTGTAGCCACTTGGAGAGAGAACCATCAGATGAAAGACCTCTCTCTCTCTCTCTCTCTCTCTGCCTCTCCCCTCTGTGTAACTCTAACTTTCAAATAAATAAATAACTCTTTTAAAAATAAATAAATAAAAGAAACTAAGAGAATGTGACCAAGAGGGAGAAGACAGGATGTAGTCTTGAGTGGTGTAGTCTCAAGTGTTGAAATCCCCCAATCAGAAATTTCTGAGCTCTAAAATCCTGAAAATCGGCAATCCCCAAAAATTAAAGTCTTGAATGTTGAAATCCCAAAGCCAACAATGCAATTGCAGTTTGGGAAAAAGCTGTAAGAGGTGTAGAAAACTGAACTCTGGGGAAAGGGATTATTGTATTTTCAGTTGTGTGCAAGATAGTTGTGTCATGCTAGGCAGATGGAGCACTTGAACACCTGATAAGAGCATTATTTTAGGTAAGTCTGTATAGACGTTTCCAGAGATACATTGTGTGAGTCTGAGTGGACTATGTGTAGGAGAATCCACCACTTAAAAAATGAACGTGAATGTATTCTGCAAGGAAAGCCATGCTTTAAAATGGGTGAGGAACACCTCGGCCATCGACCTTGTAAGGCCCACGAAAACATTTGGTATGGTCCTGCCAAGGCAACTGCAGGTGGTACTGAAAATTTAAGAACTCTATATAGCAGGGGCTAATTTTTAAATTAATAATTTTGTATGGCCCTTGGCAGAAAAAAGGCTCCCCATCCCTGCTCTGAAAGAAAAATAGGCAGCTGTCCATTGTGATACAGAACTTCAAAATATAGTCAATTGGGGCTGGAGTTGTGGCGCAGCGGGTTAAAGCTCTGGCCTGAAGCGCCGGCATCCCATTTGGGCACCGGTTCTAGTCCTAGCCGGCTGCTCTTCTTCCAATCCAGCTCTCTGCTATGGCCTGAGAAAGCAGTACAAGATGGCCCAAGTCCTTGGGCCTCTGCACCCACGTGGGAGACCAGAGGAAGCTCCTGGCTCCTGGCTCCAGATCGGTGCAGCTCCAGCCTTTGTGGCCATCTGAGGAATAAACCAGCAGATGGGAGACCTCTCTCTCTGCAACTCTGTCTTTCAAATAAATGAAAATAAATATTTAAAAAAAATATAGTTAATGATAGTGAAAATCAGCCAGCTCTTATGAACTGCTTCTGAGCAGTTACCCATAAACTATACCTATAACACAGGTTTTCATGTCATGTGTTCTTTTTTTCTTTTTTTAAAGATTTTATTCATTTATTTGAGAGACAAAGTTACAGACAGGCAGAGACAGAGGGAAAGGTCTTCCATCCACTGGTTCACTCCCCAAATGGTCGCAACCGCCAGAGCTGGGCCAGTCTGAAGTCAGGAGCCAAAAGCTTCTTCTGGGTCAGCTTAACTTACCACACAGGTGCAGGGGCCCAGGGATCTGGGCCATCTTCAGCTGCCTTCCCAGATCATAGCAGAGAGCCAGATTGGAAGAGTAGCATCCAGGACTAGAAATCGCGCGCATATGGGATGCCAGTGCCGCAGGCTGAGGTCAAGTCCACTATACGCAGTGCTGTGTGTGTATGTGCTTTACTGTTTTCATTTTTTTTTCCAAATTTATCTGGATTAGTTTTTACAGTTGCTATGCTGTGTATTTCATCTTTACATCCATTCTAGTACTGGAAGTATAAGTTGTGTAAAGACCTATATAGAATTCTAATTTGTGCCTGCTTTTTTTTTCTTTTTTCAAATTTGACTCTCTGAAAGTACATTGTCATGATAGCATCTTATTTTTATTTATTTTTTTTATTTTTTGACAGGCAGAGTTAGACAGTGAGAGAGAGAAAGAGACAGAGAGAAAGGTCTTCCTTTGCCGTTGGTTCACCCTTCAATGGCCGCTGCGGCCGGCGCGCTGCGGCCGGCGCACCGCGCTGATCCGATGGCAGGAGCCAGGTACTTATCCTGGTCTCCCATGGGTTGCAGGGCCCAAGTACTTGGGCCATCCTCCACTGCACTCCTTGGCCACAGCAGAGAGTTGGCCTGGAAGAGGGGCAACCGGGACAGAATCCGGTG